GACCAGGAAGTGCCAGGAAAAGACAGTGAGATGATTGAAAAGACCAAGGAAGTGAGAGATGTTAAAGAGAAGGAGAGAAACATTGAACTCAAGACAGACAAGCTGAGATTGTGACGTGACCTTGACTTAACCTTGAGCGTTACTTTTGCGATCATACGAAATGGTGTTTCACTTCAGCAGTAATGAATTCCTGTTCTATTGTTGCAGTGTTTCTTTACTTTTATGACCCATATATTGTGTTGTGTATTGTGCCAGCACTTAAATACCCTCAGTCGTCTCCCAGTTTTATTGTAATTTACTTTTTTATGTGTTTTATGCTTCCTTGCCGCATAAAGAATTTCCTCTTCTGGGACACTAACGCCTCGTTTCCACCAAACACTTTCAGTATGGTACCTTTGGAACCAACAGTAACCCTTCAGACATGGTACCTAGACCCTAGTGTTTCCACCGCAAGCAGTACTCTTAAATGTGGGCGGGGTTGTTGTCACTCACTGCTCCGTCCAGCACTCACTGTATTTCCTTATTATCGGTGACACAGAGGGAAGTCTACACCTTGTTTATCGTATAGAAATTCGACTCTATAACTTGTGCGTCAGCTCTATGCAGAGCCTACACACATGGCCTACGATCTTGCAAGCATTCACATTTGTTTGGTGGTGTGTCTGTGTCACTCTGCAGTTACACCTCCAAAACACTAGTTGGCAGCGAGCTTTCTGTGAAGTGCTGTAAAGTTTAGTTGATTCAAAACACACATTAAACACACATTAAACATGGCTTAATAGAGACAATTTCAAACACAAGTACACAAATCAGCTTCACTATAACTCGCAGCATTCACAGACAAACACTTGTCTTTATCTGGACACATTTTCCCCACAAATACAACATGCTAATGTTATTAGCACAAACTTATGGCATTTTACATTGTATAAATTAGCCCAGCGGCTAGCGGACTTTTCCTCCACTCATATGAAGCCAGGGACAACAGCAACATTTAACAAAGGTAACGGTCCATTACAACTCACAAGGTTCGCTGACAAAACAACTGTCTGATACTAAACACGTTTTTCAAACAAATATAACATGCTAACGTTATTAGCACAAGCCTATTGCATTTTACATTGTATAAATTAGCCTAGCAGCTAGCAGAGTTTTCCTCTGCTTATAAGAAGCCAGGATAAATCACACACAAGACTTAAAATGCTATTTTGTGGGGGCTTTATTGTCTTCACAATTTATTATCTGTGAAACTAAAGTAAATAAAAGCTTTGTTGCCGCTGAGGGAAATGTTTTCAGCTTACAAAAATAGACAGGAGTTCTGCGTCGCCGAAATATGTAGTTACATTTCTGGGGAGGTGCACATCAGGCCACGGCGTAGGGTCCGGTGTCAATTCAATAGAAAAGTATTAATCCCTAGGGAAAAATGAGTTACTGACTGGGGAAATTCAAGAGTTGACGTCATCTATGCCTAAACATTGCAAACGTAAATAAATGTTGATGGTAATAGAGTTGTCATTAATTCACATATTCCCTTTCAGTTTTCAGTGCTCACATGTAATTTGAAATATGGTATTAGGTTGTGACTGTTAGTTGCAAGATTAGTTTGAAAAGTTATTTATTAGCATCTGTCAAGTAAAGAAGTATTTTGGTCTTTTTAGGGGACGTAATGCTGCAGCAACAAGCCTGGGACAAAATAACCTTGTAACATAAGCTTTGATTATGTATTTTTCATAATATAAAGCTTCAAACTGTCATTAACATGTTGTTTAAATACTCTGAGCAAAGAAATATAATGCATCCTTGTAGCATCCATGTTGTTCCCATATTACAACCTACAGCAAGTCAGAAAATGGAGCAGCATAAAATGCAGCATAATTCTTGACACCACCACCATGAAGTCTGGAGTCTAATAACTGTGTGGAAAATCACATGTGGTTGATTTGTTTTCAGATTAAATATTCAGATTTTGGTTTACCACTGATCTCTGCTTCCCTTATCATCTCCCTCGCAGCTGCCTCCCCTGTCCCCACCATCCTTAATTTCCTCGCACCTTCTCTTGGTGGTCAATTCACAGTGGCAGTCAATTTACTTCCCTTTAAAAAAAACCCAAACCCTGGGTTTACAGAAACCTGGCATCTGACTGCAGGGAAGGTCATCAGTCTGGCGCTCTTGAACCTGCTGGGAAATCCTGCTTGAAAATAGCGTGTCAGAAACACTTTCCCCTCCCACTGGCATTAGTTTCGAAGGGCACTTAACCCCCTTTTGCTCCAGTGAAGCTGCTGTGTGATCGACAGAAGATTAATGTTACTGTGCAGCGCCGCTTCCCGTAAGAAAGTAACTGTATTAATGTGAAGTGGGGCAACCTTATTTGCTTCTAAATCAGCACTTTTCTCCTCGTGACGACGTTTCCAGGGCTAATGGTGTCAGAAATTAGCTGTCTAAATTGTCTGAAATGAAGTTAAAGATTGACCTCCGACCCTGGAATCCTCGTATGATAATCCTCGTATCATCTTTCCATCCTTTGTCCCATCCTTTCTTCTTCCTCTCTTGTCCTCTCCACTTCCTCCTTCTTAATCACAAATGACGAGCTAGCTTTAACCCCCCCCCCTTGAGATATGTCCTTATCACCTGCTCTCCCTCCACCCTCTGCTTTTAGTCAGGGGTTTCCCTCTTTTACATGTAGTAGTTAGTGCTGTGATTCATGAGCGGCGAGCCTTGGAGAAAGGCTGAGAGAAAGAGAGGGAGGGAGGGGAGGGTAAGGATGGAAGACAGAGACAGATTGCAGCATTTAACAGCCTGCCCTGGGGAGCTGCTGAAGGTGATAGAGAGAGAGAAAGACACATATGGAGGAAGAGGGAGGCAAGATAGAGAGAAAGAGACATGCATTGTAGCAAGAGGGTGATAAAAAAAAAAAAAAGCTCGCAGACTGGCTCAGTGAGAAAGATTGGAACATACACGGTCTATTCAGAAAACACTCGGCTGGCATAAATGGAGTCCAGATGGATGCACGCGTGCACACGCTCCTACTGTACACACATATACAGAAGCAAGAAACACGCACCACCCCCCTCTCGCGATTCTCTCTTCCTCTCACACAATGCGATGCACTTCATTTACAACAAGGTTTTCCCTCGGGGAATACACCTCTCCGAGCTGTTTTCCTCACACTTCTGTCACATTTCCTTATCCGTTCCAAGCTGGAACTTTTCCACCCTCCCCTTGATCTCAAAGCCAAGTCTTCACGGAATAAACGCAATAAATATTAAATGAGTTATATAAGGTCCTAGAGAGCTGCTTGCAGTTGTCAGAGATGATTAAAATCACAACCCAGCCCACTGTTTCCTGTCTGTTGTACAATCCAAACTTATTAGTGGAGGAGATGTTCTGTTTTGGAGGGATTTAGGGTCACCGTTTTAGGGACTGTGGTTCATCCTTGTTTTTCCACCATCATTATCAGTTGTTGGACATATTCCCAAATAACTAATTAGTCGTTTGGTCTATAAATGTCAGAAAACAGTAAAAAATGTACATATTCCGCCAATTAACTCAAAGATATTCAGTTTATTGTAAAGGAAGACTTTACTAATGGAGACGTTTATTGATTTTCCGATAGACTTTTATACGTTTGTTCATTCTTTATTGTCCCTTTACTATTCTTTATCGTATTGTATCAAACTTTGGTAAAAATACCTGAATAAGCAGCTGTCAGTTTTGTCGTTAGCTTAAATTACGGTACATTTATTCAGCTTTTTTTGGCTAAATGTTATTAAAACTGTTTAAGATCAATTATGTTTTGCTACAAATAAACTGCTGTTGTTGTTGTTGTTGTTGTTGTTGTTGTTGTTGTTGTTGTTGTTGTTGTTGTTGTTGTTGTTGTTTTCTAGAGCTTAACGTACCCCATGGGTAGGGTTAAATGTAACATGCAAAGGGTTAGCTGTAACACTTGCTGGAAAAGTCTGTTTAACATAATTCATTTAATATAATTTGATCTATATACTATAGGTTGATACTGTTTATGGATCTATCTATGATAGATATCCAAACATCTGTACATCCCCCTACTATTTCCCCATCTACATCAGGGGAAGGACAGGTATCCATCCATCCATCCATCCATCCATCCATCCATCCATCCATCCATCTGTTAGTCTGTCATCCATATTCAATGGTTGGGCCGATAGATGTAGGTAGATTGGGTAACCTAGATCCACATGTTCAAATATGAGTAATGAATGTATGAATATTGACAAGTCTAGACAAGGACATTAGTCCAAACTGAACATAAGATTGAAGTGCAAAAATAGAGAAAATGTGCTTTAGGTGAAACACCATGTCACAACTAAACCCGCTGTGTGGAAATTTTTATCAAGCCTAGCTAGCAGTTGCTGGGAGTCGGTTACATAGTTCAAAATGGGGCTACGTTTTAGGCAACAAGTCAGTTGTTAAGATCATATATGGTTGGATCCAGTGACTTACACAGACAGCTCAGTAATTGAAAAACCAAAAACAAAGTATGGTATAGAAATTTACTTATGTTGGCTGAAAACACGTCCAATCTCTGTGGAATTTCATGGGTTTCTGTTTAGGTGTAGTGAGGTCAACTGGCCAGAAGCACGAAAGGATCGACCCTTTGTAACCACCTAAAGTCTGTGTTACAATTAGCCCCATGTTAGGAGGTTCCCCATGCTCCCCTACATTTACCCTCTGTAGGAACAAGACCTCTATGTCATTGAAAACTGTGATAATCCCTTCAGCAAATAAGCAAACATGTGTTTAGTTCTTCAGGACAAGAGCTTATAAGTCTTTGTGCTTAGAGCTACAGCTTAACATAGCAATATACAGTGCTTATATTTGTTTTATTAACTGTTATCCTACAAATAGGCCTATTGCTCTCTCAGAATTTCTCCATTGTATGGTGACTACAACCTAAACTTAGGATAACCAATTCATGGTATTGCCAAGATCGTAACATTACCGCCCGACTGCAAGTTTTTACTTACAGAATACCATGTGAAATCTGAGGCCGTGATTCTCTTCCGAAAGCCGGTGGATTGCCCCCTGAGTTGAGAGTGAGATATTGCCTTGCCTTGTTGAGTCTTGTTCACGAGTGAGAGTAGAATGGAGCATGAGATGGATTGGCGGTTTGGTGCAGCGTCTTCAGTGATGTGGGCGCTGCGCCGGTGCGCTGTGGTGAAGAGGGAGCTCAGTTAGAAAGAACCGAAAGAAGTGACCGAAAGAACGAGATTGTGGTTTCCTCCATGGGGTGTCTGGGCTCACCCCTTGAGATAGGGTGAGGAGCTCAGGCAGCCAAAGGGAGCTCGGAGTAGAGCCGCTACTCGCTTGAGTCGAAAGGGGTCAGTTGAGGTGGTTCGGGCATCCCATGAGGATGCCTCCTGTTAGAGGTGTTCTGGGCACGTCCCACCCTTAGGAGGCCTTGGGGCAGACCCAGAACACGCTGGAGGTATTACATATCTCATCTGGCCTGGGAATGCCTTGGGGTCCCCCAGGAGGAGCTGGAAAGCGTTGTTGGGGAGAAGGACATCCGGATGACCTGGCCCCAGATAAGGGTATGAAAATGGATGGAATACCATGTGACCTAATTACGGTGTAACGTACAGAGTGCTGAGGTCACAATTGGCCTTGCTAAAGTCTCCCTCTTTGTGAAAGCAAAACTGAGTGTGCATGAACTGGACAATGACACTCAGAAGGCATTGAAAAAATGTCACGTAAAGCAATTTGTTCATTCTTGAGTGCATGTGACATCTGACGTTCTACCGATTATGCGAAATACAGGAATTAGTAGCTGTTAATTATCTTGTTACCTTAAATTACAATTGCATTTCTTTGGTTTGTTGATAAAAAAAATCCAGGTACATTTAATCTCTGTAGAAACATGACAAATAAGTCTTGTTTTTTATTATAAAAAGTGCATTTACTGCTTCAGTACAAGAACTTGTAACTCTTTGTGCTTTAAATTACAGTTTGAAATTAAAAATTACAGTTTTGAAGTGCTTATATTTTTGTTTTTTTTTATACTCAATATATTGTACTTTCAAAAGATCACTTTTGTTGTGTCTACATCTTAATCTAAAGATAACAGATTCATGCTTTGCCCCACTGGAGGTTTCTGTATGGAACTGGGTGACCAGCTGTCCCGCCTTATGTGGGACTGCACAGCATTTTTATCCTCATCCCACGTTTGACATATTGAGACGACGTCCCGCATTTTGATTGTACTGCAGTGGTTTGACTTCTGAAAACTAGAGCCAAACGCTTCTCTGATATCTGGCTTTTATCCAGTGGCTGTGAAGAGAGAAGAGGAGGCTGTCACGGGGATGTGTTTGATGTCAGCGCACACGTGGGTCAAGTGCAGGTGAATCTGTCACCGTTGTATACACTATGCCCAACGGCTTAAATTGTGGGGTCGCCGCAAAGTCACAAGCTATGCCGATTTAGGCAGAATATGATGGAAACTACTACAAAGAAAAGGGAATGCAGCTACAACAACGACTGGGAAACAACTTATAAATGGGTAAAGCCAGTGACTGCGTTGGTGGCAGGCCCCTGTTCGTTGCTATGAAAGTTGCTCTGTGGCACATGAAGCCAAAACCAACCCAGTCGGCATCTAGTTTTCCTAAACCCAAGAAAGAGACTGTATGTATACGCTAAATTTCCTGTGAAAAACAGAAGTGTATTTTGAAAGAAGACAATGTGTGTCACAGGCAGAACTTGACACGGCGTCCCAGAGCTTCAACAACCAACGCACCCTTTTACGTCATATCTGGACGTGGAAAGTCCATGACCAAACGATATGTGACGAGGTCGGAGTGAGAATGTGTTGCCAAAACAGTATGATGTCCGCAGTATAAAAATGACCTCAATCCTCAGCATTGTGAGGCCGGCTAACTTCTGGCTGCCAAGTGGCCAACTTTCAGTTTAGCCCTCTGCTAACCTGAACTTGAGGGTAAAAATGATTTAATCACGTGGCCCTTCTAGACTTTCAATATGTTATCTGACTGAATGGCTGAATGGATGATTTGAATGGATCAAATCCTGATAGTGAAACAAGACATTTTGTGGAGGTTGTGATGCTGAAAAAAATGTGTCCACTAATTTACTGACGTCTCTTTCACAATGGAAATCTATGGGCAAAAGTTGCTCTGGGCCCAATGGCATCACGAGACATACCCAGAAGTTGTAAATCTACACTTGGCCACGATGTTATATTGGCTTCAGTGCCCGGTGCTCTTCCAGAGGGCTTGGTCTAGATGCTGGATGCTGTAAACTAACATGGCTTAAATCATTAATGGATGATAGCCAATACTTTCTGGGCTTGTTAAAATAGAAGAACGTGCCTTGTATCAACATTCATAGTCTCTACAGTAATGACATTACATTACATTGCTCCAGTCAGTAGCGGACTACAGAAGTTCACAGTGTGTCCCCGAGCTGTGTTGTCTCTCAGATGTCAGTCAGCTGCTGCCATGACAAACACCAACACAGAGGTTTGAATCTAAGGGTGCTGTCAGACCTAGAGTTGTCTTGCTTTGGTCTGAATCAGGGACTAATTTTGTTACAAAGCTGCATAATTGCCTAGAGTTGGTTTGAGTTCTCACGGCAGCATTTACAAGCGGACCAGATCAAATGTCTTGTGTGAGAAAGCTGCTCTTGATTGGTCAGAATTTCCATGTAGGAAAATCCAGGAAGTAAACAAAACGTTGAAGAAGAGTACACTTGCAAGATAAATGTGACACTTTCTAATGTCACAATGGAGGGACAACTATGTGGGTTGAATATGTAATGTGACTGCAGTTGGTACAGATCGAGGTCGGAACATTCTCACCACAAACGAACCGCACCAGAGTTCACTTGTAACCGGACTGAGATCACCTCTTCAAAAAGGTCTCGGTATGGTTGTTGTGGTGTGCACCCGAGTGTGACTGCTGTGTTCACACCTGCCCAAACTAACTGACTTAGGGGGCAAACAAACTTGAGTTTGACTGAGCTGAACCAAACAGAGCAGGTGTGAAAGCACCCTCAGATTCTACAAATAGGTTCAGCAGCAGTTTTATATTCTTAACTATTTTACATATAATTCCATTTTTCTTTAGGATCATTATAGATCAGAAAAAATAAGGAGAAATCAAATATCGCTTTGACTTTAAGTCTAATCAAGCCAGCCAGTTGACTAATTGTTCCAACATTACTTTAGTCAATCATTATGAAGTTTTTAATTGCTAACAGGAATGCCTCCATGATGATCATAAGAGACTCTAATGCAACATCAACGGGACAATAAAGAGATTATGAGATAGTTCAGCCCCATGCATGAGAAAACAATATTTCCATCTCCACATAATGATGAAATTAAAACGTTGTCTTGGGGAAACTGGCCTAAAAGAAAAATGGGTACCACAAAAGTGCTAACTAGCCCAGCGGGGATGTAATAATTACGTGTCAAAATAAGGTGACGCAGTGGATTCATTACTGATTGGTCCAGAGGGAGGATGCATCATTCGTAGGAGGCGACTTTTTCAAGAAAAAGGCAGCAGACTCTGGCTGGGGATTTCTTTATCTACACCTATCCATCTCTTATATCCTCTTTTTTCCTCCTCTCTTACATAACGTATGCCATTCCGGGGGCTGTTTTTATCCACCTTATAGTTTCCACGAGTGCTTACATTTTTTAGTCTGGGCGGACTCACTCACTTCTCGCTTTTCATCTCCTCTTCTGTCCTCTTCTGCACTCTACCCTTCAATTTTACACCCACCCAGTTGTTGTTTCCATCTCATCTACGCTGTATTCCCCCTCGCTGTCCTCCTCCGCCTCCTCTGAGGACACTCAGCTAGCGGCCTGTGTTCGGCCGAGCAGCCAGATGTGCTTCGGTAATGCTGAGTGTGTGCTACTGTACAGGATGAACATCTGCTCAAAGCTGCTCTTACTGTACATTAAGTGGACCAAGCTGTTAAGCTCTCTGGATGCTCCATGCAGCCAGGAGTTGTTCATTCACTGCGGCTTTTAGAGCTCATTTACAGACTCTGATGGGTTATAGGTTTTAATGAACTTTAGCCTCTAATGTAATTAGAATGAGCGCCATATAAGATCCAGTCTGACATAAAGAACAGGGCCATAATGATAATGATGATAAGATTATGTTCTTATCATGGGTGCATTGTATTATTAAATCTGCTTTTGGCTCCAAAGCTAGACGACCTCCATTTTTAGAGCTTAACCTTTTCTGTAGGTCCACTTACATATTTATAATCTGCCTCTCTGTCCCTCAATATCAACATCTGCATCCGAGTACAAAGTGAATGTGATCAGCATAACGGCAGGTTAACGAAAACTACTCCAAAAAAGTCTTGGTTTCGCTGCATTTATTCATCGCATTGACACATCCATGTGTCATTTTGACTCTTTGACCACTTTTATTTTTAAAAGCGGAGCCTGCTCCCCCGTCTGTTGAATTCTGCAGCTCGGCTCCCCTCAGCTTCTGTTCTCGAGCCGTAACAATCTCCTCATGCTGAAACACACGGTACCTGCCCACTATAAATAGCACAATGCCAGTTAATGGCTTTATATAAGTCAGTGGGTGTGGGTCTGCGCGGTGAGAGCGATGCAGAAATAGTTCTGATTCCTGAGGGTAGACGGGGATAATGGTTGGAGCTGTGTGTGAGGAGGCTTCGTATAGGGAATAATTACAGAGCTTCAAGACAGGGCAAACAGAATCTATAGATCCTATAGTATATAGTCTGTTTTACTAGAGATAGTAAAATCAGTTTTCATTGTAGGTGAACAAATGTTCACAAAAGGGCACATTTTTAAATGAACAGCAGTAAATGATACAATCACTTTGGCCAGAGAATATACTATTAATAATTAAAACCAGTTCCTGCTTTTTCCCAACAGTTCATCCACTATAGTTCTTGAAAAAGTTGAATCAAAGATGTTAAATTCATGGTGCCACTAGAGGAAACGTCTGGGGTCACCATTGTAATTAGGATGGATCCTCTGGGAAACATGAATACCTGTAAAAGAAATTGGTGCCACTCCATCTCACACTTTGAAACATTACACTAGATACGTGAAAACTT